CACAAACACACAACCACAAACACACAACCACAAACACACAACCACAACCACAAACACACAACCACAACCACAACCACAACCACAAACACACAACCACAAACACAACCACAAACACAACCACAAACACAACCGCAAACACAACAAGCACATCCACAAAAACACAATCACAAACACACAATCACAAACACAACCACAACCACAACACAGCGCACAACCACAACCACAACACACAATCATAGCACACAACCCGAGGACCCACAAGCAAAATCGATAAATACAATACTCACGACCATGGCAACATGCTCCTCACTATGGCATCAAGACGTTATTGAAATGTCATGGTGGGGATCACTCGAAGTAAAGTAATTCGTTACGAAAGCCAGCCGATAGGGTAGGCTGGAGTGCTTGACGGGCGAACGAAGTGAATATATATATATATGTATATATATATATTAGGGGGGGTGGTGGTGGTTACTATAGATTAGACCTTTCGGGTAAGGTGAGCCCAGAGCTTGCTAAAAGAGCAAAAAAGAGCGGCGGGCAACACGTAGTCAAAATGCATGTAAATAAGGGCGGTGGTGATGCGAGTGATGCAAGAACTGTTGAATACTAATGTCATTGGCATCAAAAAGTGGCCAGGCAGTCTCTAGTTGTGCTCCAGCAAAAATGGACGGGGTCAGCTATAAAGATAGCAGCCTGCGAGCAGGTGTGTTACCACGGTAAAGACCTCAACTGCTCTGCCGTGGAGTCTATGTGGTCCAAGAGACGGCGGGCCGAAACGCATCGAGAATATCAGACCCAACGAAAAGGGCAGGGCTGAGTCTGAGCACTCGGACTGGGACCATGATTGGTTTGTGTTTGTGCTTGTTGTCACGGGGCACCCCCAACATGACTTCCCAGACTGTGGTAACTTGCGGTAGTCTCTAGGTGAATGATCAATCGCTCAATCCACTCATCCTATCCTTTGCCTGTTTCTCTTGATTTTGCAGCCCCCTAAGTTAAACCGGTGAGCATAGTACCATTGCCTGGCTGTGGGGAATGCAAGAATGGCACCAGCAAGTGCTATCTCCCCAAGTGGCTGTAAAAAAATACGTTGAAAGATTATGTTTGCAGTCTGTTCGATGGGCATGTGTGGTCCAGTGCTGGTGATCATTTTGTCGCGGTTTTGGGGAGGACGACAAGGGCGCCAGCAAAGGAATGCTATTTCCCCACCTGCCAGGTGAGGGTTGTTAGATTTTATGTTAGCTGACTTCTCCTTCTCCTCCTCCTCCTCCTTCTTCTTCTCCTCCTCGCCGGACCTCAACCACAACCATCCACGCCCAGTGTTCCCTGCCGGACCTCAACCACGACCATCCGCGCCCAGTGTTCTGCGCCGGACCTCAACCACGACCATCCGTGCCCAGTGTTCCCCCGCCACACTCAACCACGACCATCCGCGCCCAGTGTTCCCTGGCGGACCTCAATCACGACCATCCGCGCCCAGTGTTTGTTGCCGGACCTCAACCACGACCATCCGTGCCCAGTGTTCCCTGGCGGACCTCAACCACGACCATCCGCGCCCAGTGTTCCCCCGCCGGACCTCAACGCACAATTATTATTCCAAACAGAGCCACAAACACACAACCACAAACACAATCAGAAACACAGAATCACAAACACACAGTCACAAACACACAACTACAAACACAACTACAAAGACACAATCACAAACACATAACCCCAAACACAACCACAAACACACAACCACAAACACACAACCACAAACACACAACCACAAGCACACAACCACAAACACACAACCACAAGCACACAACCACAAGCACACAACCACAAACACAACAACACACACACAACCACAAACACACAACAACACACACACAACCACAAACACACAACAACAAACACACAACCACAAACACACAACCACAAACACAAACACACAGCCACAAACACACAACCACAAACACACAACTACAAACACACAACTACAAAGACACAATCACAAACACATAACCACAAACACAACCACAAACACACAACCACAAACACACAACCACAAACACACAACCACAAACACACACCCACAAGCACACAACCACAAGCACACAACCACAAGCACACAACCACAAACACACAACCACAAACACACAACCACAAACACACAACCACAAACACAACACCACAACCACAAACACAACCACAAACACACAACCACAAACACAACCACAAACACAACCGCAAACACAACAAGCACACCCACAAACACACAATCACAAACACACAATCACAAACGCAACCACAACCACAACACAGCGCACAACCACAACCACAACACACAATCATAGCACACAACCTGAGGGCCCACAAACAAAATCGATAAATACAATACTCACGACCATGGCAACATGCTCCTCACTATGGCATCAAGACATTATTGAAATGTCATGGCGGGGATCACTCGAAGTAAAGTAAATTTTTTTGATTCTCCTCAAGTGGCTGTATTCAAAAAATACGTTGACAGAGTATGTTTGCGGCCTGTTTGGAGGGCATATGTGGCCCAGTGGTGATGCCCCTTGTGATCGTTTTGTTACAGTTTTGGAGAAGAGCAAGGGCACCTGCAAAAGGAGTGTAAACTTCTGTGATCTAGCTAGGCTTCGTCAGGTAATTGTATTAAAAAGATATGTTGAAAGAGTGTGTTCGCGTTCTGGTTTGGAGGGCGTGTGTGGTCCAGTGTGGTGCCCTTTGTGATCGCTTTGTCACGGGTTTGGGAAGAAAAAAGGGCACCGGCAAGGGAGTGCAATCTTCTGGGATCTAACTAGCGCCCCGCAAGCAGCTGTAAAAATATACATTGAACAAATATGTTTGCCGTGTGCTTGAAGGGCTGGCTTTCGTCCTTTCCTTTCTCAGGTATATCATCGATATTCGTAGCTTTTCATTTTAGATCTATATCAATACCTTCAATATCTATATTTATATCTATATATATATATCAATTGTCCCGTGCTGTGGATCGTGGGCAGTAGCTTTTGCAGCTGTGAAAGCTCCAAGTCACCACAGAATTGTTTGTTTGAGTAAGGCCTGCAAGTGAAAGGGTGCCTGATGCCATAGTCAGCTGCTCAACATTTTGGGATTTGGTGCTTGTTGATAGTCGAATGTCAGAATCAACAAGTCAGGCCTCGCTGCATGTTCTCGCGGTCAAAGCGTTGGTTCAGAGCTTAGCTTTGCCTAACTGGTTCGTGGCGTGTGGTAGCATTGGTTCGGGGTTTTGGTTTGCCTGCTCAGGCCGCTTTCGGATTGCTTCACCCTGATGCATATGAAGCGAGCAAGGTTGATGCAGATGGCTGAAGCTTCTAAAGACTCACTCATTGCCATTGTGACTGTGCTTGTATTTCTTTTGTGGAAGCCGGTCCTCACAAGACGGTTGAACCAAGGCAGCGTTGCAAGCGGCTATATACACCGTAAAAAATCCCAAAAGTGCACAAGGGCCTTTGCCTCAAATATGGTTGCAAAAGACAACAGCATGGCATTGCGTTGGTTGGATTTGCTGTGAGCTTGTGGAGTGTAGGCTGCCAGCTGGTACGACTGATGTGCCGAACCCTGCCCAAACAGGTCAGATTCCTTCTTCTTGCGTTTGCCGCGTTTGCCACGTTTGCCACCTTTGCCACCAGCTGCACCGTGCAATGCGCAGGCTTGCCGGGGATGGCGCTCTAGACCCAGTCGTTTCATCCAAGCACTGCATTGGAAGCTGCGCTGAACATTTGGGCGCAATTTTTTGCTCCAAGGACGCCCAATACAGTGCATCAAACATTTTCTAGGCTTACCCACCCCCACATACCACCACATACTGCATTCACTTCCGGCTGCGTCTGAATTACTTTTGAGATGAGGCAGTTCACAGTCGAACAGGTTAACAACTGTTTGCATCCAGCGGCTGGCAATGAAGCATTGCGCCGCTGGCATCATCTCTGAATATGGGCACCATGGTCCTGATGTGCCGCGAACTGAAGCGCCCCTGGACCCTCATCACAGGACTACATTCCTCAACATGGGAGCCCTATCGAAGGCAGCTGGTGGATTGGCAGGTGCGGCGGGCGTGGCAAATGCGGGTGCTGGGCAAAGCAAACTGATCCCGGAGCCCAAAGAGACTTAGCAACGCTTCGGTCAGCTTGTTCCCCCGATATCTGGCCGTACTAGTCCGTAGCTTTTTCGCACTGGGTCAAAGCTCAAGGATGTGATTGTTTTTCACTCTGAGGCAGAAACACCACGCGACCGCTTCAAGCTGATGCTGGCGATGAAACGAACAGGCTATCCTGATGATCATTCCCCGCAACCTGATGCTGGAAGCCGAGCTCAGATGGGCTTCAAAGCACTTCATTGGGCGCGACATGAGGTGGCATCTGCACTACGCGCTATGGAAAGCATGAAATTTGTGAAAGAGCAAGCGAGGGTAGCAAAAGCCATTGCGGACAAAGCGGCCGTACAGTTGACCTATTTGATGGAGTCTCCCTGTGCCAGAGGTGTTGATAGGGAGCCTGGCGAGTCTGCAGGGGCCTTGGGAAGCCGTGCCAAGATTATATAGTGTATATAAATTGGAATTGTGACAGATTGTGTTGTATGGTGAATGCTGCACTTCAGATTAAGAACCATAAAGTTGTCAGCTTTGCAGCTTTTTCCTGAGGCGGTGCTCCCACCTGACAAGAGTGAACTAGGGCTACCGAGCCTGGACATGGGGGACATGAAGCAAGGCGCAGAACTTCTCAGCAAGTTAGCAGCCAGCCCTTCTGCGTTCGCAACTTGGTTGATAACTGCGCTTGTGGGAAGGTTTCTGGAAGTTCTGTCATGGTGAGTGATGAAACATAGGTGACACTCCAGTTTTAAGCTGTCAGACTGACTGATTCAGGCCGCTTTTTGCCCCACAATTCCGATCCTCGGCTGCAATTTGCATTTGTGGGGCGGGAAAGCAATTTAGCAGTTAGCATGAATCAGATGCCGTGCTTGAACCGTTCCTTCGATCAGTGCCGCGCCCAGGTTCTCTCAACGGCGGGTTGGCAGACAACGCGACTTTCTCTAACATGCGAAAAAGAACGCGGCTCGAGCCGCGAGCGCAGGTTGCCCGAAGTCTACCTGAAGCAGTGCACAAGGAACACACATTTTTTGACATCCTTCCATTCGAAAGCCTCCCCATAGTGCCTGAGGCTGCCGGTCGGTTTCATGCAGGCACCCACCATGGTCGCTGCACCCCAGCCGGGACCCTGAGAAGCACAACGCTGCTTGTGCCTTTCTCCTTGGGAGCTCAGGCCTCGAATGGGTGCAGGTCTCAGCTTCGAAACTTGGCAATGCAGAGCCGTCCAAGTCACAAACACATGTCCAGGTCCTCCACAGTTGCGTTCTGAGTTGCATACTGTATGAAGCATGCTACCAAACTGTCCAGAAGTCTTATGCCAGAGCCTTGCACCTGTGCTTTGTACTAGGATGGGATGCTTTCCAGCTGCACAGTTTGCCCCATTGCAAGGCAACATGGGAGCGCTGGACGTGAGAAAATTGCTGCCCACATTTGCTATGACTCTTTCGGAAAGATAACCTGATGATTGTTTCAGAAAGTCTTGCAGGTGCACCAATGGCTGCCATGTCACAGCCACAGATTAGACAGGTCGGTCCGAGAGTGTTGTACGTGATGAAGCGATTGAGGCCACAGAATCTGGGACCCGGTAGGCCGCCTGCTGCCCAGTCCTGAGACTCCTGAGAAAGCTTATGTAGTCTGGGGACATCAATTAGTCATGTTGACCTGATGCTGACTGGGACGTTACCAGCTCAGGCTGTGCCAACCGCAGCCCAAGGCGGATTCAGTGAGGGATTTGCTGCGGGAATCACGACATCAAGACAATTGCAGGCTATGTGCCGAGCGCACAAAACATGGCTTGTGGAGGCTGCGCTCAGCCATGCTGACACGATTGTATTTTCGACTGATATGCGCACACCAGACTTCCAGAATCATGTGATATGATGATATGATCCAGGAGTCAGCTTGGACAATCACTTGCTTTGGAAAGATTGTTAGTTTTGCTGTGCCAGGCCTCGACCATTGGCTTTCGGGGTTCCAGTTCAGCCCATGCTGGGTGCAGGGCTGGGTGGCTTTAGGCAGCTTGGGGGCTAGGCAGAAACGACGAAAGACGAAAGATGCTGAGGCACTCTGCCACCCATGAGAGGCAGGGAGATGTGGATCAGTGTGGGATCATCACGGACCGAGCCTTTGGCGACCTAGCAGACCGAGCTTTTCAAGTTTGGTCAATCAGCTTGGTAGGTCCTACGACCATGTCCAGCTCTTGGAGTCTGAGTTGTTGCTAGACGGTGTTCTTCCAGCTTTTGAACTAGCATGCCTTAATCGATCCTGACCTATCATTTAGATGACCCAATGCTGACCGGACTTGAGAACTACCTACGGGTGAAGTTTGGGTGGATATGAGGCCCATTGCCGGGATGACAATGCAGCTGCACCCATCTTAGATCCCATTGCATGGGTGTTATGTTTCTCAGTCGTATCTTGATGCAGAGGCCTGGCGGTGGTCTTGCTGCTTGGCTGAGACCGGAAGTCAGAGAAGCCACCTGCCCTCCTTTTTAGGTAGCAAGGTTGTGCACGTCCTAAGGTAATGGAGCCACCTGAAAAGCGTGCGAAGCTGGATGCATGATGCTTCTAAAGAAAGCTCGTGCCGTGATTGAGGGATTGAGATGGATCGCCAGAGGTGAAATCACTTCGCCTTATGATGAATCTTCACTGGCGGCAGGCCCTTCAAAAAGGAACAGCAAGTGATTGTGAATGCATAGGGGAGAGGAGAAAAAAACACATCCTTTTGTCTACTGTGTTCTCGCCATGAATGGGGCTCCAGCGAGCAATGAGAATCACATCCAAACCACACACTTGGAGCCAATGGGCTAGAAAGTTTCTCACACCAGACCAGCTATCAGACGTGGCGGTTTCAAGGTGTCTCAAGGTGTTTCAGACGTGTCTTCTCTCAGCATTGATGCCCAGACCGTTGGCCATCTGACAGACTTGGAAGACGCTCTAAACGCCATGGCCGTGAAGGCCTTGGCCCTGGAGGTGCCGTACTCCCGGACGGCTGGGGAGCCTGGAAGTGCCATGACGTATACAACATGTCAAACACATGCAAGGTTTTTCGTTTTTTTTTCATGGCATGCTTTTGACGCAATGGTTTTGCACATGTGGCTGAGGTGATATCTCCCAAAGGACCGCGATCCTTCAAAGTTGCACAGTGTTAAATGCTCGTATTAAGCGTGGATGTGTCAGGAGTGCAGCCGCTGTCGGAGCCTCACGTGACATTGCATTGATGTGCTCAATGGGTGAAGCCTTGGCACCTTGAGGTCCCTCTTTCACCGGAGTGTTACGGCTCCTTTGAGCCAGTTTGAAGCCTAAAAATGACCTTCCACAAGCTCATTACACAGACAGGGCATGGCCATTTGACCAAGGACTCCCACCAATGCAGCCGGGACCCCAACCTTTGCAGCCACTCTTCAGTGACAGAGCTGCCCTTTGGCAGGGCCAGGGCCAGAAAGTCTACCGAAGGCAGGCAACAGTTCCAGTCTCCGACCCAGCAGAGAGCAGCATAGATTTCAGATGAGCAGAGACAAGCAGAGAGAAGCACACGCTTGCGAAGCCACTTTGAAGGCATCACCTGCTTCAGTGATATCAGGCTCATCACTTCAGAGTTTTGATATTTTGTGCTCGTACAAATGCCCGCCGTGAGGGTCTGCAGTTGCGCCACTAGCTGCAAGCCCAGTGGCCCTGGCACTGTTTTAGTGATATCGTCCATCATTCGTAGACCACTTTATATAAAGGCCTACATCGGTCGGTCAATTTGCTGTAGGGCTCATACAGGTTCCGGACTGGATGCTTGCAAGTGCCTTCCTTTTGGAGAAAGCGATGCCACAATGGGCAACCCTGTTGAACGCATGGAGACAGAGAACCAATGAGTCACGCTGCAGGCAGCACAGGCGCCAGCAGAACGACGCCCGCGATGGGCCAGCATGTCTGAAGGACAGAATTGCGCAAGTCCGTGCGAAGCAAGAAGCTCTTCTCACAGCTGCCATGCCCCCCTCAATAGGCAACTAGGTCCGGTGTTGTCACATGGCTCAGTGCGATGAAAGGACCTGACACGAGTGAAATTACAACGCCGTCCTCCGCTGAGGCGCAGCCGCGCACTGTTGATGGATGTTTTCATGTCAAGCAATTGTCCTTTGCAGGTATGGCCAGCTCAATTCACTCCTCCGGAACGACGCCCTCGATGGGCCAGCATGTCTGAAGGACAGACTTGGCTTCACATCGCCAGTGAGCGGTGTTTGACCTCTTACTTCTAGCGACTTTGGCAGTCTGGAATTTATTGCCGCTTTTGTTTAGAGCTCTAGTTTGGCTTTTTCCTAATCGTTCCTAATGACAACCACCAGGACCAGATGAGTCGCCTGCATTCCAGGCAGGTACTGTAGTGATTTGGACCCGGAGGATGCCTCTCCGAATTTCCTGAATTGAGTGTCAGGTTCAGACTGAGCCAGGACGACGCCCACGATGGGCCAGCATTTCTGAAGGACAGATGGCTCTATCAACAGTTGATTTGTCAGTTGCTTGAAGAATTAACCGCTTCTTTCAAGGCTCCCTTTTCTACCTGTTGTTTTGGCAGTTGTATATATATATATATTGCTTGTATATAGGCAGAACTTCTCCTTTGTATGCGTTATGGGCCCATTCCGTGCAGCTGCAGCCGACTGGCCTAAGTTGGGAGGTAGTTTTCGGTCTGCGCTGTCCAAAGGGCCAGTGGCGGCCAGTGCAAACCGTTGCAAATCCCTCGGGTGAAACTTCCAAGAAGTTTCCGCGTTTCGCGCTACACGAAGGCTTTCACATTCGCGTTCTGTAGGCTCTCTCGGGCGCAGCTCCTAGGCATTTGGTGCAGGTTGTTGTCAATTTTGAATGTTTGCAATTTCTGGTGTCCAAGGTCTCTTAGCATGGCGATTGATGCTCTTGCTCCCGAGATGCTTCGAAGCACTGATGAAGCACGCAAAAACGCTGGGTACTCAGTCGACACAAGAAGGTCCAAAAAAAGCTTGGATCCTAAAAGCTGGCAAAAAGCTCAGCAAGAAATTGGAGCAAGATAAGCATTGCAGCATGGGGGCTCATGGACAAGTGATCGCGCGTTCTCTTTTTCGCAATGGTGTAAAATGTCAGGACATAGAAGCAAAGACAGAGCAAGCCCAGCCTGGACGTGTAGCTGTAGGCGTGCTGCGCCTAGCAGCCTTCATGTGGACACCCTGGCTAATGGCAGGTGAAGAGGAAAGTGATGATGACGAAGATGCCATTGGCCGTCAAGCTGCATCTAAAAAACGTGTAAAACACGTCAAACGTGCATGTGTCACATTTGCACGCTCCCTTTTTCCTCCAGGTGAGTTCACCTTGTGGGCTGCTCCACGTTGGCACCTGCTTCGTGAGCTTTTCATGGATGAGGATCTCAATCACACAGCCTTGGGTGGCTGGAGCGTTGGGAAATTCCAGGCACTTTGGCCTGCCAAGCTGTAATTCCGGCAAACTTTATAGATACAGACAGTTGCACAGAGCTTTTTTATTTGAAACTGTTCAACTATATAGACAAGGTAGGGGGGCTGGCTCGCCGCTGTATTACTTCGAAGGATTGGGTGACCTGGCTTTCAATAAAACTTGTAGTGTGAAGACTGTGAAGAGGGTACTGTAACCTGGACTTGCTTCAATCCTCTCACTCTGATTGCTCAGGCACGCTGTGTGAGCCTTCTTGGCTTTACTGGCAATGCACTTGCAGTCTTTCGAGCTATCGCCCCATGACGTAATTCAGTTTGAGTTTACTTTTTTGTTGACGCGCATGGGGTGTCTATTTTGCCTCTCTGGCCCATGCAACAAGATTAAGGCACAGGAATGTGGCAGTGAAGAGCAGGAAAAACAGCTGAGGCTGGACGTAACCGGACTAGCTTCTGAGTCCAAAATCGATTGCAGTGAGCTCCCGACCTCCGCTCAGGGATGCGGGGGTGGATTTCAGCGATGTGATCACACTCTCCCAGCTCCGGCGGTTTGAGGCCGACCTTTTCAGGGCCAACCGGCCGCCGATTGGTAGTTGAGGGGGTATATTACTTTACAAATTAAGCACACACATGTACGTATGTACGTATGTACGTATGTACGTATGTACGTATGTACGTATGTACGTCGGTCGGTCGGTCGGTCGGTCTGTCTGTCTGTCTGTCTGTCTGCCTGCCTGGCTGTCTGTCTGTCTGTCTGTCTGTCTGTCTGTCTGTAACGTATGTCTGTCTGTATGTAACGTATGTATGTAACGTATCCGTATGTATGTATGTATGTATTTTTTTTTCTCCTAAAGTTGCTGCTCATGTTGTGGGTGGCCGTGTTGGCCGGTCTATGCGGCAGCCTTCCGTCAGTCTGCTCAGAAGAAGTCGACATTGACGACCGGGTCACCTTCTCCATCTTCTTCTTCGGCTTGCTCGGGGCTGTGTGCCATGCCCTGTTGAGCTGTCGCAGTGGGAGGTGTGTCCGTGGAGAAGCGCAGCTTCTGTGGAGCTGGGGGTGACATTGCCGGCATCAGGTCATCTGTTGATGTTGCCGTGGCACGTGGTGGCTGGGTTTCATGGCCGGCTGTATGTGCCTCCTGGCTGCCTGTGCCCTGGGTGTCTGGTGTGCCCTTTGGCTGGGTATTGAACAGCTGGGGGAGTGTTGGTGACCGCTGTGTGTTGCCTTGGCACGGTTTGGTCAGGGCCTTTGTCATGACCACCCTTTGCTCGCTATCCAAGTGACTGTTGGTGCCGCAGTTGACACAGCGGATTGCCTTGCCCTTTTGCCACAGGGTGTGGGAGGAGTGTCCTCCATGGTTGTGCTCGTATTTGGCATCAATGCATGTGCTGTGGATGAAGGTCCGGAAACTGTCCTCGTTTGTCCTTTTGTGGATGGACAAGTTGCATTTGGTGCACTTGAGGTATCCCGTGGTCTCCTGGAAGGTGTGTTCATCCGGAGCCTGGGGGTGTTGCTGTTGGACTTCGAGGAGCTTCTTAATGGCCGTGGTTCTGGTGACTTTTTGCCCGATTGGCTTATCAGGTCTCATGTCGGGCTCGGGTGCCTCGTGGGTGAGGAGCTCACAGTCCTGGTTGAGGTGCGTTTCGATGACATCGACTGTGAGACCCTGGTGAACTCTGGTATGGCACGTTTGGCACTGGTACCCACTCCGGTGTGGTACCCATTGGTGCTTGTGGGGCTGCCAGGGAGCCTTGCATTGGTTGATGAGCCGTTTCTTGTATTGTTTGGTGGCATGGCCAGCCCGCCTGACTGGTTTGTCGTGGAGGTAGTGTTGGGGATCCTTGTAGATCTTCTCGAGCCGGGCGGTGGCCTGTTTGTATATCTGGAGGTGATCCTGGTCCAAGGTGTGTTGCCAGTCCTCTGCCTGTCTGTCGTAGAGGGTGGAAGCCCGTTCGTAGGCGGCCAGTGCAGCATCTCGTTGTCGCCTGCGAAGGTGTGGCTCGTTGGCTGGGGTGTCCGGTGACCTGTGATTTTTGTGGATGTACAGGGGAGTGATCCTCTGGAAGAAATGCGCATCCAGTCCCTGGGCAAGGTCTTCGAAACCCTTGCGCTTCCTTGGGTTGGTCCATGCCTCCCATACCACCCCGAGCTGAACCACCACATTGGTGGGAGTGAGGACGAATTGGGCGAGGGCGATCAGGCCTTGGAACAAGGCTTGGGCTTTGGTCTGGGGACCTGGTGCCATGCCCGTTATGGTGCCTTTTCGCAGGAGCGTTCCAAGGGAGAAGGTGTGGATGCAGAGTCCAAACACCCATGCCTGTGACCTCCGGTCGTAAGAGGACGGGGTGGCATCAAGGGTCACTGCCATGCCTTGCCAGGGCTGGAGGGTGAGGGGCTCGAGGGCGCTCCAGCAGCCATGGCCTTGCAGGGGTTGAGGAAACTGGAGATGGTCTTGAGGTTCCTTGGGAATCCAGCCGTGACCCCACAAGGGTTCTTCAAGGGGATCCTGCAGCCGTTCAGTCCACTCAATCGCCAGGGGTTCATGTCCTTGGTTGTGGTGCCAGGAGCAGAGCCACACGATGTGTTTTGGGGTGGCTGGGACCTTGCAAAGTGGGCAAGGTTTGATTTTCTCGCCGTCACGATAGTGGATGGCTGCTTGATTCCAGGTCCTCATGTGCTGAAGCTGTTGCTTGGAGAGGACTTTGGCGGCCTTTTTGGCAGTCTCCCAGTCGAGGCCGCTCACCAGGTTTTGGCAGTTCTTCCTATTTGCCAGTCGGCTGGTGCGTTGTTGCTGGGCTTCCCGATGAAGCGTTTGCTCAATGGTGTGCCATTCGTCTTGTAGGTTGATATGGGCTTCCGTCATGAAGGCGGTCTCTGGGCGATGCCATTGGTAAAGTGTCTCGGTGGTCCATCCCCATTCATGGAGATATGCAAGGGTGGCTGCCATTGGGCCCTTGACATGGTACCATTGGTGCGGTTTGGTTCGGAGGTGGTTCCGAATGGTGATCCATGCTTGTTCCACATGCTGGATGTGATCAGCAGGCCAGCTGTGGAGGAGAGTGTGCAGGGCCCGGATGTGGTGGATGATCACCTGGTCGCCTGGGTCGGCGAATTTGTGGCTGACTTGGTCGTAGATGATGTCTTGGAGCCCTCCGTGATGGAGCCCGAGGTGGGTAGCAAGACTTTGGCGTAGTGCCAACCGATATCTGGGTGCTAAGCCTTGACCCTCGAAGCCCCAGTAGGCGACAGGGTGGACACCTCCTTTGTGTAGCCGCAGCCGTGTTCGTAGGTTGGGCAGCTTTAGACTTCGGAGGCGAATCCTTCTTTGCTTGTGTTTCCGGAAGCGCTGTTGAAGGGTTGTGATTCGCCTTCGGCGGCTGGCGGCATGGTCAATTCCAAGGTCTCGCATCACGGATTGGATTGGCGGGTCTTGTGGTCCGAGAAGTTTGCTGAGCTCACTGTGGATCCGTTTGTCCGTGACAATGAAAGCTGTCTTGTGGCTGTTGACCACTAACCCGGCTTGTGTCAGTTGGTCCCGAAGTTGTTGCCATGCCTGGTGAACTCTGTGCGCCAAATGCTGGGCATCGGTATGGCTGCCGTCAAAGCCAATGTCGTCGACCCATCCGTTGAGGTGCAGGTCTGGGAATGCTTGCTGGAAAGTGTGGAGGATGGGTTGGAGATAGGTCTTGGCCAGTAAAGGTGCTTGTGGGCATCCGGCAGCAACCCCTGTGGTGACATGGAACCATGGGCTCAGTTCTCCTTCGGCCAGGATAGCTTTGTGTCCCGTGTAGACCTGCATGGCGAACTCCAAGGCCAATGGCGGATAGTTGAGCTCTTGTGCCGTTTGTTGGAGTTTTTGAAGGTCAAGGGTGTCGTAGAAGGTGCTCATGTCCAGAAGGACTGTGACTCCGTGCTTCTCCAGGGATTTGGTGGTCTCTTGACGAAGGAGACGTTCGAGGGCCACGTGGAGAGCAGTTGCTCCTGGTCTGGCTCTGTCACAGTCCATGGTTGGAGGGAGGTTTCGTTGCCACTCATCCAGGATTGG